CTGCCTGGGCCCACTGACCTCTGTAGTTTGAAGAGAGGGTCTTGGACAATTGTCCTGTTCTAAGATTTAAAATGAGGAAGGGGGACAGAGTGAGAGGTTCAGCACTGAGGAACACACACACACACATTTGTGCCGGTCTGGTCTTAGTGCTATTCTGTCTATTCCAGAATGACATAATGGAGCTGGAGATGATCCAGAGGAGGGCCACTCTGTAATCAAGGGGATGGGGGTGGTGTAGAGGGGGCTGCCATATGAAGATAGATTAAACAAATGCAGACTCTTCAGTCTAGAATGATGAAGGCTGGGAAGGGATGTGACTAGAGTGTATAAACTTATGCAGACACAGAGAGAGGAAACACAGCCTTATTCGCCAGATTGGAGAATTTGAGAACCAACAGCCCCCCAAGAGCTGTAGGAGATTGAGCTGAGGAAAGTGTGACTGCATCAGCACCCCAGTTTGTACTTTTGTTTACATCAAGGACCTCACTTTCTCAACATAGTGGTCATGCAAGGAAGGACAAGGAGTTATCAAAAACCCATTTTACAGGTGAGGAAACTGAGTCATGGAGAAGGGATAAAAATATCCTCTGGCTACTCAGCTAGTAAGTGTCAGAGGTGGAATTCAAACCTGGATTCATTGGACTCCCAGGTCAGTGCTCTTCTCCTAGAGCAGCTGAAAAGAAAGAATTACTTTATATAACGTATTCAAGACTTAAAGTTGTATTTATTAGCCCCAAGAGATACAACAGGATGAAACTACAAGTAGCTTTGAAAAGAGTAAAAGTAAGGGCATGGCTGACAAGTCCCCTGTGGATCACTAAGGAAAATTGGGGATGAAGTGAGAATGTCCTCAATGTAGGAAGGCAGCCATGACCTTCTCAACCTATCCTTTGGGATCCCATCAAGATACTGGGCTAGAAGCACCATGTGTTTGGCCTGGAAGGGTGGTTGAGATGCCCTCCAAACAGCTGCAGAACACAATGAAGACTCCTTGAAGTGCCCAGGAGAAGTGGAGAATGAATAAGGGGGTAACAGTGCACTCTAGCTTCCCTTGGAAACTCAGCCTTGTGGGCCTGACATATTTCAGGGCATTTACCTGTTTCGAGGTCTGTCCCCAGTGAGGAGCTCCCGGGTTCTGCTTGCCAGGTCTCCTTCCAGCCACCTCTTCCTGGTGATTGCTTAACTTTCTCTCCCTATGCCCACCACTTCCCAAAAGAAAACAAACTAAATCAAGTATAAAACTCCCTGGGGTGAAGGAGAGTATTTGATTCCTTCCAGATCTGCCTTGCTAATCCACTGTGAGGCTTTGTTTCCTTACTCAGAATGTAGATCTGAGGGCCCTAGCCCTTTCCCATCTTCCAAAGAAAGAAAAGATACTTCCCGAGGGTTAAAATGGGAGTCCTCTGTAAAGAACTCAGACACTCCAGAGCCAAGTTGAATTCTGTGTCAGGTATTATTAGCAGCCCTACACTACAGATGCTATACTGTAGGAATCTGTGATGAATGTCCTCGATGGCGACAAGAAGCCCACTATTACAGAGGGATGTGTCTTAAGCAAGTTTGGCTTGTGTGTCAGTTTCCATAAGGTCCACAGAGGCAGCAACAAAGCCCATACTTAAACTCTTGCAATGACTGTCCTTCAGTCCTGCTGACTTATCGCTTTCAAAAATAATTGTAACCAACAAAACTAAAAGATTGGTAGAGAAGCAGTGGGAAAAAGTAAGAGTACTTATTTCCTTATAGCCCACATTTCCAAATCTGTAATCAGAAAGGTACTATGGTAATTTCACTAGTCAAATTGCTCGTCCTAGTAAGGAGGTGACGGAGTGCTATTGCACTCTAAATATCTCATTTAATGTGAAGAACTCTTGCAACTAGCTCTGATTTCTTGAGTGCTTTATAATGAACCTGTTTTATATCTATGAAAGTAGCTTTGAAGAAAATAGGTTTTTTTTATATAGGTTGGAAAAGACTGTTCAACACCTTTATTAGAGATGCTTGGTTCCCCTATACCAACCGTACAGCTGGAGATTCCTAAAGAACTTGAACAGAAACTTGTTACCACACTGGTTTCAGGGGAGAGAAAGAGGCCTTTTACTTTGGAGAGAAACACACTACCTGTGAAATGATGCAGAGGGCATATGTCATTTGACCTTTATAATCAAAGCCACAAATAATGAGGGGGGGGGGGGTGTTAATCTTGCTTTCTACATCTGTATTTTTGAATCCTGCATGAAAACGTGAACACTAGTAAAAAGTACTAGAAGAGCTAGGTATTTCTAAGAATTGCATTTTGTATATTTTTTTTTTTTTTGTACCTTCTATTGGGATGCCTTATGAGACTTGGGACACAGCAGGCACTCAGTCAAGTTAAAAATGACTTTGAGACCAGTAGCAGTGACAATAGCAGCAGCTGCAGCAGCTTGGAGAGTAGTAGCAGTCTTCTCCAGAGAGATGGTGTAGTTGTTTGGATAGAAGATGTGGGATAAGGGGTGGGACTAGAATGGGAACTAGAAAAGAAACCCACACATTTCAACTAAGTCCTGTACATAGACTCTCTCCTCCCAAAGAACATTTATTTTAACTCAGAATGAGCTGGGCAATTAAAAGGGAAGAGGCAATTTTCATAGATTCCATTCAGATTTTTTCATGTTAAAACACATGTAGATTTTATACATACATAGGCTCATAGTGAAATTTACCAATAGGCAAACCACCTAGATAAGAGAACAGATCTTTCATGCAAGCAAAGGCTACTATAAAACTGTTTGGTTAACTTCTAATACAAAATAAATGATTTAAATGGCTTAAAATAAATCCTTTTTATTGCAAGTTTGATCAAGCAGACAGTATTATCCTAGGTTGGAAACGGTTTTATAGCATCAAGAAATGTTTGCCAATGGGGCTGCAACCCACTTCTCTCCATCTACTCTAAACCAATGGTAAAGGCCCTCCCCAGAAGACTTCAGACCACTAGAAAGATGCCAGATGATGCTCTGTCTCTAACACCTTCGCCCTGGGAATAGCTTATAGCACTCCGTTGCCTCCTTACTTTGACGAGATCAACTTGACTAGTGAAATTACCATAGTACCTTTCTGATTCCAGATTTGAAAATGTGGGCTATAAAGAAATAAGCACTCATACTTTTTCCCACTGCTTCTCTACCAATCTTTTAGTTTTGTTGGTTACATTATTTTTTTAAAAGAATTATTTAGCTTTATCTATTTATTAAGTTTTAATTTGACCAGAGAGAGACAGAGAAGGAAAGTGAGGAGAAAGCAAGCCGCCAGGTCTGGGACTGGAACCGTGGTTGGCCGTGTGGGAGTCCAGCACCCTTAACCACCACGCCACCTGCCGGCCCCTGGTTACATTATTTTTGTCAGTATTTCAAACATTCAGGTTATATTTTCACTTTTCATAAAGCTATTAGAAAAATTGTATTTATTATGATTTTATACAGATAATAAAGTCAGTTACCTGATTAAAAAAAAAAAGGAAATGTGGGCTAGATTATGCCTACATCTATACACACACGTACATACATATGCAGATATTTAAAGTGGTTGGCATGCGTGTATTCACAAATGTGCATACACATATCCATTCCAGGCATTATCTCTCAGCCCTGCTCATCACCACCCACCTCTCAGTTCTCAGGCTTATGTTGACTAAGGACAGAGAGGTGCTTCAGAATAATGGCACACTTGAGTTCAAACCTTCCTAATTTAGGTGGAATCATTCCCACCAGATTACCTTAGGCCAATGTCTAGTAGCACTCAGCGTGTGCACCACTGACAGCTGAATCTTCACTGAGGAGAACCAGGGTTGAGCATATTATTTTACCTACCAAGTTTGGTTCCCATCGTCAACTGGTCATTTTCTTAGGATATGAGGAAATAACCACAGCACCAGGGAACAGTGTTGGCACTTGTCTTTACTTTGTTATTGTTTTCAATTTTGTGATCTACTTTCATTACCAAACACAATATCATACATGTTTTACAATAGGAACCTTTCAAGAATATGATTTTAAGTGGATAGGACATCCTTTACCATATGCTGATATGGGATATTTTTGAGCTTTCTAATTATGTAACACTGTAAATAACAAAATGAACTAAATCTTTGCATCTTTTTTTCCACCATGGAATACATTACCGTAGTGGAATTATTGGTTCAAATGTTCTGAAGATATATTTTAATTAACTTTTTTTTTATCAACATGTATATGGTAAGTGTATATACTAATGCATTTTTACACACATATACACCCTTGTAACCACCACCAGATCAAGATATTGAACCTTTCCAACATCCCAGATGGCTATCAAGTCCAAATATATATATAATATATATGTGTACATATATATTATATAAATATTATATACATATATTATATATTATATAAATATTATATACATATTATATGCATATATAAATGTACATGTGTGCGCATGCACACACACACACACACACACACACACACACATATATCGTTTTT